ATGACTTTTTGATTAAGCCCCGAATATCAAACCCACAGGGACAACAATAACAATATTTAACTAAAAATTAGAAGAAATTAGATAACAAGTTATACTTAGCAAAATATTCTTACTCAAACTTTAGATGCTATAATAAGAATGAAAGTTTGATCCTTTTTGTAATTTTTTTTATAATTGAAAATAAAGTAAACAACTAACTAAACCTAACAAGATACTTGTAAGATGAAGACAATATAAATAAAATATCTTTTTCCTTATCATGAATCAATAACAAGTATAAAAATTATTGTGGAAGTATTCAAAATGTGTTGTGCCAAATAAGAGCAATATTATTCTTTATCGTTACTAGAGATGCTATAAAAAATATTAGCTAATTTAAAGTTTAAATAATCTTGAATATACTAGCTCTCACTCTAGAGTTCTCTCTTCTTCCTCCGCCTTGGGGCTAACATCTCGTATCAAGACCTAAAATTATAAACCAAATTAGGTGCTTTAGCCTGTCACTCTAAAGTCTTCTGACTCTAAACCCTTTAAAGTTTATTTCCCTATTTATTTGCACTCAATCATATCAATTACATTCTCATCCATACAATCTAATGTGATTTTCTCCGTATCAGATTTTACATGTTCTTACAACAGGTATTAACATCTTAATTGGTCAAATCAAGAAGTAAATGAAGTACAATCTTTAAAATCAGCACAACTTCTTCCAACAATTTCCATCCAATACTTAATCACTTATCATTTTTAAGAAAAAAGATAAAGAAAGCTACTTAGAATTCATGGAGAAAACACAACCACACTTAAGTTTGAAAGTAGAAATCATGAAAACAAACAAAAAGTCTAAATTAAAACTAAATGAAGTCACAAAGATAAAAACTTATCTCAAATCCTCTCCGACAAAGTCTTGCAAAGACTTGAAGTTCATTTGAATCTCTTCCTTCATTTACAAAACAAACAACAACTTAAAATAAAAAGAAAAGTGATGGCGGCGACGGCGTGTGAAATGGAATTGGCGATGATGGATGATGGCTCTCTTTCCCCTCAATCAAGTCTTCTTCATAATTTTCCAAAAGGTGTCTAGGTGTCTCTTCAAAATGTGTCCACATTCAATGAATCTTCTAGAAGTTCCCTCCTTTCAAAAGCAAATTGAATGGAATTTTTGTGTTATTAACTATTTCACACATTTTCACCAAGGGTTGCTTCAAACACCTCTTCATTAATTTATCCAAATTCAATGAATCATCAAATAGCTACTTCTGGCAGGGTACTAGACGCTTAGGCTTGGTTTTCTCTATTTCACTGGCGCGTAAGCACCAGTCCTGGGAGCTTAGGCGCCTCAGTTCAATTTCACATATTCTCATTTTTGCTCCAAATTTGATCATTTTTCATTCTATTTGATTGTACATGAAAGAAAAATACACAAATACCTTTCATTAAAGTGTAATATCTCAAAAAATGGGTATAAAAATGTGTACATAAAGACTATATATTTTAGGTGTATCAGACATCACCAAAGATGACAAACTCCTTTCCTCGTGTATATTTAATACATTAATGGAGAGTGAAAGGTGTCATCTCATATGTGTGGATAAAAAGGAAACCCAACAGAGCCCTAAAAGAGGTCTCAATATCGATGATGTGGAACTTTGCTTCTATCCTCAACTCTCCAAATCAAAGAGAATTGATTATAGAACCAAGGGTGGCATGGATTTTCTCATTAAAGTTGGTAAGAATTAGCCCATCACATCATAATCTTCTTGAGCGAGAGAACAATTCAAGAGTTCGAACACTAATGATATTTAATGATGCACTCGGGTCAACCACAATATAATTTAACGTAATGCCATATACTGAGGTCGCCAAATATAATGGATAATTACGCTCAGCGGTACCTAACTGGAGATCATTGTTGGTGAAGGAAATAATAAGCATATTCAATGAAGGTCCCAAGTCTTTCAAATTTTTCTTAGCAAAGTAAACTAAAAAAACTTCAAGTTATAAATAGCTCTAACTAAAATTTCTCAAATTTCTGGAGATAGCATTAGTGTGTCATATATGATCAATAATGATGGGAGCTTCTTTAGGTGAGCTAGGACATTATAGTCCACCTTGTTAGATTAGCTATCACGATTCATAGCCTAAGCTCAGGGGACATAATCATCCTCAATATCCTGAGCGACAATGTTTTTCCCCTTATCCTGAGTGGCGAGCTTCCCCACTCTAGGTGGGAGCATTCTACCACTCCTCAGTCGGACCTGTTGGATGTCCTCAACAAGGGATCCACAAGGATCAAACCCATCGAGAAAATCACTAGATGCATCAACAAATTAAGATTTAGGTTGAGATGTGGGGTCCTTATCCACGGGAGATTCTTCTTCAACATATACATGAAGGATGTCGTTTAAGGCAGGCATGAGGGGGAGCTGGTCCTCATCATGATATGAATTATCATAATAAAAAATATGAAAATAAATACATAAATAACTAGCAACGGGGTTTTTTTTTGCTAGAATAATCATCGACTACATAATCAATCTCAGAGATGTCACTCAGTAATACATACTCAGAAGATCTACCAGTAAATCATATAACATTCCTGAAGGTGTACCAATAGTTGCTGAGATCTCTGTCAGTGCCTCAAAGATGAAGTTGTTCGATGCCTAGCTTGTGGTCTTCTCCAAGAAGTGCTCAGGAATCTTGATCTCTCTAGCTCTATAACGGGCTGTCAACTAATTCATGAAGGGATAACACACCTCCAAGGTATGCCCAAAGTGTCGTTAACCCTCAATAAACTGGTCGTTGTCTCAAAAGGGGCAATGTGATCAGTCATATCAATCTTCCTTTGATATGATTTCAGGGTTGAGATTTTGAATCGCCCAGGTGCTTCATCTTTAGAGATCAATCTGGAGAAAGTGTTACGAAAACCGTCCGTCGAGGTGTCGAGTGCATGCACATTTCTTTCTGTCTTGAGCCTAAGGCGCATATCCAACATTTTCAGGCTGGTATGTCTCTTAGCTCAAGCTTAGAGTTGGGGAGGAGACCCTTTCCACATTCATGACGGATCTCTCTCATGCGAAGACTAGTGGATGGGGCACTGGATCTGTCCTTTGCATAATCGTTCTTCTAATCATCTCTCTCATATAATCATTGGGTTCTTTTATCTATTGGGTCACGAATCTATGATATACTTTTTGTTCCATGTGTTCTCACAAATACTTCCCTCCTCTTACATTGTTTTTCTTCTTATTTGTGACATAATTCCACGCTCACCGCACCTTTCATAGCGTTGAACCCAAATTTGTCCTAGAATTATACCCAAAAAATATAACAACCTAAGGAAAGAGAAAATATTATGTGAGAAAAAAGACTAAATTCTCAAAGATTTGACGAAGATTTCTTAATAGATTTAAATGTGAAAGAAGAATCCACCTCCATGACGTACAGTGCCTCCTATTTATAGAAGTCCAACCTCCTGAGAGAGAGGAACCGTTTCATTATTTTATATAAAAAAAATCCAGCAAAAAGAGTTCCAGAGTCAGACCATATATAGTTATTATTTCATGTAATATCTCCCAGCCAGTATGAGCTTCATATTCTCTTCCAGACATCGAGTGCTGCCCCACTTTTGCTTGAACCACCAAACCCTAACCTAGAATTGCCTGATCATGAAACTTGGTTTTGTCAACTTGGTATCAGGCGCATGTTTTGGGTGGCCAATTCTTTGGGGTGTCTTGATATGTCGAGTAGTCTTTGTATAGAAAATCTGAGTCAACCATCGACAAGTGGGGCATGGCCACCCTACTTTTAGGTTCACTTGCTTCTTACTCAAACACCCCTTTTATGTTGATTTTTAGATCGTGTGGCTATACTACTTTCTCAGCTCTGGATAGAGGGTTAATCCACTCAATCTGACCAATTGGTTTTATTGTTTAGTCATCGTAGCCCATGATTACCTGAGGCCACCTTTTTCTTTGCCTTAGTTGGCTCGATCAGATCTATTATTTATGTGAAGCCGCTTTTTATTGTACATCATATATAAAGAGATGGGACTCATTTTAAATATCATTAAGAAATTAAGCTTGTGATTTTTTTCACAATCAATTTATAATAAAATCCTAGACTTCAGTGATATATAAGGCTTGACTTAGGGTGAGTTAGTCTTTAATGTGAATATTATATGTTTTCAAGTAACTTGACTTAGGGTGTCTAACAAGGCAAGTATGAATGATAAGTGACTCCTTCGAAGATTTGATGTAAACATTCGTTAGTCTTTAATGTGAATATTATATGTTTTCAAGTGCCACGAAGAGAAACTTGGAAGTCATGACAGTTTTAATGGCGGTACCCTTCTTCCCATGCATGATGGAATATGGCAGGAAAATGTTATTATTAAACAATTTAAAATTCATTTGGATGTCTACGTATAAAATTGTTATACAAAAAGTACTATTTTTAAAACTTACATTTAGACAATAGTTTTTATATATACAATATTTTAGCAAATCTGCTTATAAAAAGTTATATTTTCGCCAAAAATATTTCTAGAAAATAGCTAAAAATCAAAGCACCATTTTGTTGTAAAATGTGATGCCTGGGAAACAATCTCAAAGAACTGGACGGTACTTCAGTTTTCCATTTTAATGGCGTTATCCATCAAAACCATTGGTCTCGGCAACTATGGAAAAAACCTTTCGGTCATTTACATATGTACCACCCAACTCCTATATATTTACATATCTAACCACCTAATCTTTAACTATTATATTTATACCACCCAAATCTTTCATATTACATAAAAAGTACCTCCATTTTAACTTCTAAAAGTGAAATACATTTTTTTATTCTTGGTTATGGTGGTGTATGCAAAAAATTGAAGTTTGCATTTTAGATGTGCAAATAAATAAGAATTGTGTGGGATATATGAAAATCTTCCATAACTTTTGCATCAGTATATTCTGGCTAAAAGCAGCCTCAGAGCAAATGGCGACTCTCGTGGCTTCGCAAACATAGCTTTAATATATTCATTATCAAAATAGCAAAATAAACCTTTAACGGTTTCATGATAGCCTCATTGTATGCAAGAATGGTTTGTCAAAATTGACAGACGGAAACAATTCAAAATTTCTGATAAATAAAGATTACTTCTGAAGAATATATCAGTGATACGGGGCACCATAAAAAGAGCATCAAAATTTTTGTCTCACCCATTATTTCTTCAGACTAGTGGTGCTCTCCAAATTGAGATCCTGGAGGTTAAGCAGCAGCTCGCCCGAGTTTAGAAACACCCTGTTAGCAGAGTTCGATATTGTTTGGGCCACTTCCCTTGCAGCTTCAATCTGCCTCAAGGCAAGGAATGCCGGGTTGCTCGCGATGGCTTCTCCAATGAGCTGAGCACTCTTGGCCTCGCCCTGGAAATAGACGACGATATCAAGCATCTAAGCAAAAATACACAATAATCTGACGATTCTGGTAAATGACGCGTTTGCATTCACTTGGGAGCCATTTGGGTAACTTTTGATTTTTTTTCTTTTTAATTTTTTTTAGGATATATATTGTGTGAAATAAATTATGTTTCATATGTTATAAATCGTTTAATTATGTTTAAAAACACTCAAAATAATTTTACGATGTTTCAAGTGTTTTTAAAATAAAAAATTATTAAAAAACATGATTTAAATTAAAAATTAAAACACATATAAAAAACAAAACATGAAAATGATTCCAAATGAGCCTTTTGAATTTCATTTATAATTCTGTCGAGTTTTAGTAGCCGATCCAGATTAGTTTGAAAATGCCAATCATTTGTGCTTGTTGAAACCCTGCTGGTGCAAATATTAATAGTTTCTATATCGACATTATATTCGTTGCTGTTATAAAAATAGTACTTCAAAATGTCCCATAGGTGTATTCTTTAAATAAAGATTAGGAATGATCAAAGAACTGAATGCTGTATTAAACTGTCCGGCTAAGAAACAGGACGTGTATGACGGACAAGTTATTTGCAAAAAAGATAAGGGTATTTTGTATAGTACAAGGGACATGATCGATAAACATAAAAATGAAGCAGTATTATAAAATAAAAAAGTTAAAAATGTTGCGAAAGTATATATATATATATGTATGTATATATATATATATATGTGTGTGTGTGTGTGTGTGTGTGTGTATGTGTGTATGTATATATATGTTTGTATGTATGTATGTATAGTTATATATGTATGCATGTACAGCTAAAAACATATAACTAAAAACATATAAATCTCTCTCTCTCCCTCTCTCTATCTATATATATATATTACTAAAATCTTTCATTTTGCATAAAAAATTCACCATTTTAACTTTTAAGAAAAGTGAGATACACATTTCCATGCATAGGAGTGGCATGCATTTAAAAATCGAAGTTTTGATATTAGATATGTAAATACAGAGGAATTAAGTGGTATGCACGTAAATCTTCAAGTGAGTCTATATATATATATAGTTCATGCATGAGGCTCAAGAGAGCTGCCGGAAAAAAAAAATACAGAAATGAATCACTTGAAGAACAGTGGGGTACAACATAAAATTACGGCTCACCTGAGCTCTGATTACAGCACTCTTTTTATCTTGCTCAGCTTTTTCCACAATAAACTTGGCCCTCTCAGCATCCTGTGCAGCCACCTGTTTAGCTTCAATCGCATGAGTGAACTCCTTCCCAAAGCTCAGGGTTGTAATGGACACATCATCCAGCGCAATGTTGAAGTTTAATGCCCTCTGCATCAAGATCTTCCTTATTTCCCTGCTCACAGCCTTAACCAAAAAAAAAAACAAAAGACCATACTCTTTAAGAGAAAAAAGTCATGTTCGTCTTTGTCATGCTATATTTCTTCATAGAAACCAAAACTATGTGCAAAAAAATTCTGGACTTATTTATTCAACAGAATAGATACCTCTCTCTGTGTGATAAGCTGGCTAGCATTGTACTGCGCTACAACAGCTTTCAAGGTTTCATGGATAATTGATGGCAGAACCCTTTCATTATAGTTCTCTCCAAGGGTTCGGTATATCGTTGGCAACTGATCGGGCATGGGGCGAGTAAGAACTCGAAGACCAATTTTAACCTAGGCAAGAATAAGAACCAGCATAAAAAACCGCAGAAACTCGTGCAATTGGGCAATGCGGGTGTCTAAGACCACAGAAATTGCCGTATGAGTAGGCAATATATGCATTTAGAGGAATGAAGGAAATTTATGAAACTTGAAAAACTTTTACCAAATTGCACAAGGCATAGATTTCCAAAACAATAATAAGTCATTCAGAAACAAAACACTGCATTATTACAATGGCAATGGAAAAGAATCATCATATTTGATAATTTAGCCAAAAATAATTTCCAAAGATAAATAAATGCTTAAGAATTTGAGCATCATGATTCATGGAAGGCTGATTACTGATGTTGAAATACCATCAAGTTGTACAAGCAAATCTAGTTGAGCCCCGGTCAATCCCAGAAGCTCACACCATAGACCAAAAAGTATAAAAATATTAGAACATCATAGTTGCCATTCATTTGTTGTAACCATCAGCTATTGTCTTATATATTTACATATCTAACATCTACAATTTATTTTTTACATGAATACCACCCATATGTTTGACATCACATTAAAAATACCACCAATTTAACTTATACACCTATCGTGCATAGACAAGGTGGTGCATATGTAAAAATTAAAGTTTAGATGTTAGATATGTAAATACATAGGAATTGAGTGGTATGCATGTAAATCTTCCTTAAAATAACCTAGCAAGATCATATTGCACTACAGAAGGCTGAGTGATGACGACAAAGCCATAACCATAACATATAGTTAAAACTTGCAACAAATTCATAACATAAAACTTTAACGAAGGCTAAAGTGGGATAAAAAAATTCACTCAAGTGAAACAAAAAGTAAAGTGGCTTAGTAATGAAATTCCTCTTCAATTCTACAAATAGTCATCACTGTGGGAGGATATTAACCCCCAACAGCAAAACTTCATTCACAAATCCAACGAAAGCAAATATAAACAAGAAGGAACATGTTTTGCACTCATTGCAATAGAGAATATGCAATATGAAGGTCAAAATTGTTCTCAATCATAAAGAAAGCAACCATAAGAGCCGGGACACATGCTACGCAATGCCTCTTGTTCTGATGTCCTATTGGCTACATGAAATGATAAGCATTTCGAGTGGCTTAGTTCATGTGAGCAAACTCAAGAAGCTATAACCAATATTTTGATTTCAATCATCTCCAAGGCTACCTTCTTTAGCTTCATCCGAGATCAAAATTCCCATGAAAAGATAAATTAGCCTAGGGCAAAATTCACAACCACCATGAGGAAAGTAAATTGTGTGCTAAATTCAAACCACCAGTACAGTTCTCGCACTCTCAAGACAAGTACTCCAAGTTAATCTCCAAAACCCAAAATATATATGTAGATACATATACATACATATAGATACATATATATATATATATCTATATATATATATATATATATATATATATGTATGTATGTATATA